GCATCACTCCTAGAAATCTTGACCAACGTAGTCCTGGAAATGCTGCCACCTCACTCCTGCCAAGGTGAGCTGTCTGAGGTCGCCTCAATGCTAATAGGACCTCTTCCTGTCTCCACCTCAGGGGAAGTTTTTGCACACCATTTATTACCATATAATATAATGCAATATAATATCATACATAACATAACATAATATGATGGGTAGGTTAACTTGAAAACCCTGAGGCAGACTGTGGATGGATGGATAGATGAATAGATACATTTGTACTAAGTATACATACATTATATCATTCTATTGATTTGTAAAAAGTTCCCGGTCTGCCTGGCTGTAATGAGATTTTTGAACTTTGCGTGGCGATCAATGAGAGGAATATTATTGGCCTGGAGAATTGATATACCTGCTCTCAGTGGCTTGTTCTGCTTCCAGGCTGCCCCGGCCCCCCAGGTGTACGATTCCAGCAGACACTTAACCTTTTTTACAGTGTCATCAGGCTAAAAGGAATCTAATAGTGACACAGGACTTGTGCTCAGCACTCTGCCACTATTGCTTTCCTGTCACAAATAATTTATAGCCTTCTATTTCCATCCCTGAGCCTGCACCCCAGCCCTGCCTCCTGCTTTCCCCCAGCTCCCAGGAATCAATAAACTCACACAGCCATAGTGGGACTTCAGGGTGCAAGGACTGGACAGATGGACAAAGAGAGGGAAAGTGAGAAAGTGGCAGGGAAAGAGGGAAAGAGAGAGAGAGAGGGAAATAGGAAGCAATGAGAGGAACAGGAAGAGGGGGTAGAAGTAAAAGAGCATTGGGGGGGTCTCCACATGCTTTCCTGGAGGTGGAGGAGAATGTCTCTCCTCATTCATGAGTGTAACAGACTGTTGCTGAAGACTCACTCACGGCTTCCATTCTGACTCACATAGCCCATGCAATTCGTTTTGATCTCCAAGTAGTTGGAGGTGGAGGCCCCTGGGAACCAAAGAGAAAGTGACCTCACCACCTGTACTTGCCTCACCATTCTTTCCTCTAAAGCTCTGCCTCAAACCCCTATCATCTCTTTGGTCCTCTGTGGATCCCTCCTCGTATCCCCAAATGGGGCTTTATCTGGTCCCTACTCTGTCTGAAAGTCTTTCTGTGCAACATCTTTTGGGGTCAGCCTGTGGCCTCAGCTGCTGCTGTTTCCTGTCTTCACAGTACTCTTCCCCAGGTCTTGTAGCTTGCAGCATTGACCAAACTGGAATATATTGCATGGGAAGGTCTCCTGCCTGCAGCTGGCTTAGCCCCTAAATTGAAAGCAGCCAGGCCTAGGGGTCACCTATAGAAATAATAATACTATTGGGCACTATTGTCATGGCTATCATATACGGGGTCAGCCATCATATTAAACACTTTTCGTAGATTATTCTTATTGTAGTCCCAGAAAGTGCCTAGTAGTATTATCTTATTTTACTGATAAGTGAATAAGAAACAACTGAGTTTTCCAGGCAATAAGTAATACAGCTGGTATTCCACTTTAGGTAAACTGAGCTCATTGTGCAAATTCCCTTGCTGTACTCCCATCCTTGTGAGTGTGGGAGACTCTGAGTGCCCAGAAGCCCTGCACTAGGCACAAGTCAAAACCCTGGGAAAAGCAAGCCCTCATCTGAAATGGAAAGGAAAGAGCTTCCTATGAAGGAAAGCCTACTAGAAAAGGAAGTGGGGGACTATACCCTGTCTCTCCATGAAAATGGGAAATGACACCTCCTAGCTGGGCCTTCCAGGATCCTGTCCACATCCTCCAAGGATCCATATCCTGGGACTTGACCTTTCTGGATAAACCTTCCTGGGGCCATTGAGGACATTGGCATGTCTTGATGACTTGTGGAGCCAAGGATGGAAAAGAATTGGAGGAAGAGGAGGAGGCATGGGGAGGAGAAATGTCAGGCAGCCACCCTGCTTTACCTCTTGCTTTCAGCCCTAGTGCCATTCCTATGAGTTACTGGGTTGTATACAGGATACAGGAGCGCACTGGATGACCTTCAGATTTCCACTATTCTAATTCTTAAATTCCCTGTGATTAGCTCTGGGGACTGGCAAGGGCCTACTGCTTGGGGTCATAGATAGACACCAAGAACATTAGTAACTCGCAGCAGGCACCCTGCCTAAGTCCTCTCCCCTGCACCAAGCCGCTGTCAGGGAGTAGTGATTTTCCATCACTTGCTGCCTCAGCTAAATCTGCACCAGTGCCCCAGGGGTCAGAGGCTCCGGGTAACAAAGACAGAAACTCCACAAGCCCGTCCAGTTATCTGTCTCACCCCGCCCCAACCCTGGGACTCCCTTAGTCCAGAGCCTATCAGTTCTCAAGTAGAGCCACCCACAGGATCTGGGAGGCTCGAGACACTTGTGCTGCAGTGAATCTGCGGCAGCTTCTCTGAGCTGCTCAGCATCCTTCTAGACTTTTCTTATTAGATCAGCCTATGCTGCCCTCACCTACTTTCTGATCTTTCCTATTGTGGTTAGGCTCCAAACCTTCTCCTAACTCTCAGCTTTGCTGAGAAATAAAAGCCACGGAAGTTCATTTTTGAAGCTTTTGAGCCCACCTGGAAGAATGCTGTTTCTTGCTTACTCCTCCCTGTGCCCTTCACTCCATCTCTTCCTTGTTCTGCCTTGCCCTCTGTCATGCACAGTCTCTCTGGCAACTTCCGACTCTCCCTCTTCACTTGTTCTTCTTCCTCAGCCCACAAACTTATTCAGGTTTTTCCTACCCTGAAACCCTCTCCTTCTACTTGGTAGCCAGTTCCATTCTCTGATTTCCACACAGGTATCTCCTTTCACTGCCTCCCTCTCCTCCTGACCACTCCTCCATTCATTCTACCTGACTCTACTCCAGTCACTATGCCGAAACTACTGATCTCCCCAGGATCACTAATGGTCACCCAAACAACCAAATCCCCATTTTATTCTATTTTTGGTGCTGGGCATAGAACCCAGCACCAAAAATAAAATAAAACCCAGCTGCGCAAGTAATTTTCCAGGGAGCTACACCCCCAACTCAAATTATATTCTTAAAACATTCTTCTCCATGGAGGCTGCCTGCAAGGCCCAGGTTCTACCTGTATCCATCCTGAGGCCTCTCCTTCCCCTCAGCACTCCTTTCCCCAACAGACTCCCCAATCCCTTTCTGCCACATCAGCAATGTGTGGATGTGTGCACCTCACATGCTGCATGTCTAGGGTAAACATCACCACTTTCCTCCAAAACCAGTTACCTCCCTGCAGCCTGTTTTTAACAATGACATGGACCACAGAGCTCCCAGTGGCATAGCACTGAGGTTTTAGAGCCATGGTTACCTCCAGTTAGTTGCTAAATTCTGTCCATCCTGTCTTCACAGTGTCTTGCAAATCCTTGCCTCTCTTTCCTAAGACCAGCTCCTTATCATGTCATGCCCAGATGTCACCTTCCTGGGATTGTTTTTACATGTCATTTCTAGTTTGAGAAATTACTCATGGCTGGAGACCCTCTAAACCTGGCTCCCACATGTTGGAAGGATGACAGAATAGCAAAAGACACAGGTTTGGGAGACTGAATTCGGACTCTGCTCTAGCTGACAATGGTGTGATCTTAAGTAAGCTATGTAACCCTGGTCAGCGGTTTTCAATCTGCAAAATGAGGATCCCAATATTGACTTCAGAGGTTGCTGTGAGACTTAACAGGTACATATAAGTAATATAAATTGTGTAATATTAGCACATAATAGATGTTCAATAAGTAGGAAATAACTATTTTAATCATTGCATCCAAGTTTTCAGCCTTATTTCCTCTTGTCTCTTTTATGTATCCATAAATGGTGTAGGTATTAACCCCTGAAGCCTCATGTTCCCCTAGCTCCCCTGCTATACTTCTGCCCTCCTCCAGCTCCTCATATAACACCCTTCCTTCTGCTTGTTGATTCATCTTAGAATTGTGTTATCTTTCTGGGAAAGAGATTGTAACAATCCTGTAGACCAGACCAGGCCATGGGGATAAGGCCCCTCCTCCTAATGCTAGAAAGTTGGAGAGAGAAGATTTATAGTCAAAGAAAGCTGAGTAGCCCAAGAGGATCAGGCAGTCAGTGCCAGAGGATGCAGAGCAAGAACAACCCCCTTATAGGTGAGGGAACTAGGGAAAAAGTGATGAGGTGATGGATTTCATGCATCCACAGGCCTTTCATTGGACCCACAGATGGAGTCCTCAGTCCTGGCCCCTGAGTTGGTCTTTTGCATCATTGAGCCCCAAGTTTTGTAGATCACCAAAAGATAGGCTCATTCCAGCCCCTGATTGTTTGATTTGACCCTCTGCCCCCTGGGGTATGTGAGGAGGGCAACAGTCTTCTCAGCCAGGCTGATAAAGAGGTGATGGAGCCAGTCAGCCAGGTGGAGGCAAGGCTCTGGCTGGTTTGAGAGCAGTGAGTGGGCTCAGGAAGAGGTTGTGCAGGCCTGACATCTGGCAAAGGGACCATGTGGTATCCTTGGAATTCTGGGAACAAAAGGGTTACCTGTTACCCAGCCATTTCCTGCCTGTGGCCTTACTTCAGGATATCGATAAAACATGCCACCTCACCTGGGCTCTGGAGGACTATGATATGCTCCCAGAAGGAAAACCAGCTCCAAAATGCTCTCCAGATTCAGGGAGTTCTGGTACTAGAGAATGCACTGATATGGTTAAGGAGGGAAAGGTAGAAAACCAGTCACCTGGCTCTGCCAACCTCCAGGAGGATAGAATACTCTGTGCTCTAATCCTTGCTACCAGAAATCAAGATACAATTCAGATGACGCTTGTGGCAGAGCCTCCGTCCAGAGCTATAGTAGTGTGATCCACAGGGATGACAGAAGAGAAAACTCATGCAGTTGGTGAGAGCAGGAGTACAAGGAGCAGACAGGCAAGGATGGAGCTGAGGAGCTTGGGAGGGCCCCTCTGCCAGGCTGGACTGGCGCTGGTCAGAGCAAGATGGGCATAGGATTCATAATGCTGTTGTGATGCTGTTGCAGGATCATCCGGACCAAAGTTCAGCAACCTTTCCACCCAACGCCGGATGGGGCAGGGACAGGAGTGACCACCCCTGGCCATACCATTGGTAAGAGGGCTCAGGGAATGGGGGAAGCCTGACCCCCATCAAGGGAAAGCCAGGAAACAAAGACCAGCCCTGGGAACTGCCCCCTCCAGTGAGGTTCAGGACCTGCCATGTTTCCCAAACCTTCCTCTTCTTCATCTCCTAGAGGCTCAGGGTCTCCTAAATAAGATTAGTTCACTACACTTGGTCTCTGTTCCCACCTGATACCCTGCCTCAGTCTGTCTATGTTCTCCTTTTCCTCCTTTCTCACTCTTATGTCAGCATTTTTCTTTTAGCATTTCTTCTTCTTTTTCTTCTTCCTCTCTTCTTCTCTGTCATCTTTTATTTATGTGACTCTATCTCCCTACCTGTCCCTCTTTCTTTCTTGTCTACGTTCTTATTCCATCTTTGTTTTTGCTTTTAATTTTCAAAATTATCCTTCTCTCTTCTCTTTTTTCCTCTCTCTGAGTTTTCCTTTCTCTCCTCTCCTTTCTTCTTCTGCGTTTAGCTCTGGATCTTTCCCTCTTCCTCACCTTCCCTCCTAATGGCCTCTTCTCTCTTTGCCTGTGTCCCTGATCTCTGTCTCTATCTTAACTACTTTGTAGCTCTCTGCCTCTCTCCAGCCTCCTCAGTTCTCTGCCTGCACTTAGGGTCTTTCATAGACATGGCCCAGGCCTGCCAGAACTCCTCCTGACACTCTCCTGTCCCCCGACACACATAGACTGACTCCTTTCTGGCCCATGGACAATTTGTGTTCTTGTGGCCATAGATGAGGTCTGGGGTTCGAGGACTAGGATATGGTTAAATTTTTCCTGCTGCCTCTTTGGCAGCTGTCCTTTTCTTGACCAGCAGGAAGTAGAAAAGGCTGATCCCAGCCCTCCTAGAGTTGGCAGGAACCCTTGTTTTCCAGACCTGGGTTACAGCCTGTGCTAGGAGGGAGGGTGGGGCTGGGCCTGAGCTGGTTACTGTGGAGTGAATGTGCTCACTAGTCTGTGCCTGAGGGGGAACTGAGGAACTTCTCAAGTGATTTTAACACCAGAGTAACTGGGAAAGAGAACCGAGTACTCCTGGGAACCTCAGGACCATCCTGTATCTCCACAGAATCAGAGAGCTCTTAGAAAGCCCCAGGCTGTAAATCACAGTTAGTAAAGACTCTGCCCTGGAGACTAAGGAAAATGAAATGGGGTTTGTCTGGAAGGATTTTCCCAACTCTGGAGATTGGACGAACTGTGCCAGAAGGCACCCCAAGAGCTGTGCTTTCTAGAGGGCCACAAGGTACCTTGTAGAGAGTCAGCCTTGGTGATTCCTGGGCCTGTACACCATCCATCCATGTTGGAAAGAGTTTGAGGCGCCCACTGAAACCCACAGGTCTGCAGAGAAGGCCTGGGTTGACTACTCACCACTAAAGTTGGACAGAAGTAATAACAACCTGAACTGTATGTGTAACGCATTTTCCCCTTAAACCTCAGAGGAAGAGGGGAATATGGGCTCCTCATCCCTCCTTCTGTCCTCTGCTTCTCTCTGCCCCCAGCCTTGGGGCTTTGGCCTACGATCACGACTGCTATCCTGATGGCATTTCCTCCTTACTCTCGCCCAGTTCCCAGCACGGCCTCCCCTCCTGTTTCCAGCGCCTCCAATGACCCAGTGGGATCCTACTCCATCAATGGGATCCTGGGGATTCCTCGCTCCAATGGTGAGAAGAGGAAACGTGATGAAGGTAGGGAGGAGGGAAGAGGTTTGGCTTCCCCTTCTCATGCTTTGTCCTTGGACTCAGATCTCCGGTTTCTGCCTGGCCTCGCAGCTGCTCTGCTATGAGATCAGTTTTAGTAGCAAAACCCAGGTCCCCTCACTGCCCTGCTGGCTCCTGGAGAGAGAGAGGGAGGTTACTGGTGGGGCCACCAGCTTAACCATCTGCTCAGCCCCGACTACCTCACCTTCCGCTGAGACTCACCCCAGCTGTCCCTGTGGGGTTTCAGGAAAGGCATGAACCATTTACCTAGGGAAGGTTTTGGAGGTGTGGGGAACAGTTGGTCTCTGACCCAAGGATGAAAGGCCAGCCTACTTTATCCTCACTTGATCCCAACCCATAAGAAGGTATGGGATGATGGCAGGTGCAGCTGACCCTGGTGTCCTTTCTCTATAACACAAGGACATTGCCTCATTAAAACCACTTCTGTCGCTGGACATGGGACCTTTCTTCTTCTCCATGGGAGAAAACACCACTCAACTTTCTTGCTGGCCCTTCCCCTCATGCCCTTGGAGCACTCCAGAAATAGCCAGGCTGTCAGGTTGGGAGTTCAAGGGAAGGGGAATAAAGAGAAACAGCGGGGGAAGGAAGGAAAGAAAGAAGGGAGGGAGGGAGGGAGGGAGGGAGGGACAGAGTAGGGGTGAGCTTGAAATGAAGTGGTAATAGGGTTCCTTTGGTGACCATCTGGTTTTGTTCTGAAGCACAAGGCCAGGGCACAGGACTGACAGGTCCAGACAAACAGAGAGCCCAGTGTCTCAGGCCTGCTTCCTGCCCCAATTCTCTCATGGTCCTAGCTGGGGAAGTGGTAACCTCTTGACTTTGGTAGAAGGCAGTAGTTAAAGGAATCTCCCATGAAATTCTGAGACAGAATCCTCCAAAGATGAGCATAAAGGGTGACCATATATATTCCATTAGCCCACGAAGTCCGAATTTATGTCTTTGTCTCTTCATCTTGACCCAGCAACACCTCCCTTTCTCTCAAGAATGCACTGTTTGGACAGTTTGTCCTGTGGTTACCCCAAGCATAGACAAGCCCTTGAGCGAGTGAAGAATGGGGAAGAGGAACAAAGCTGATACTCCAGGGGCCACAGCCTGGATTTCCTGGGCCCAGGCAGAGGGAAGAAAGCGTGTGAGGCTGGGCCTCCAGCAGACGGGATAGAGTGTAGGAGAGGCCTGGGGCCTGGCAAGACAGTGATGACCTGGTGCTGGCCTCTTTCCAGAAGCCCTAATGGCCTCGTTTCACAGGGAAACAGCTTGTCTGGCTCTATTTCTCCTTCTTCCAAAATATCCAAACCCATTTGGCTGCCACGGCCTTTGCCACTCACTAAATTTCATTGTGGTTGTTTTGGCGGCAGCCCCTGATGGGCAGTGGGAGGCAGCGTGAAAGGCCCTAAGTCCCAGCTCTCCCTGGGACTTCCCATACTCAGGCCTTAGCCAAGCTCCCTGGCACCCTGAGTACTTTGGTAGAATCTGCCTCTCAAACCCTAAGCGTTTCTCTTTGGCTACCAGCCCCTGTGTTGTTCAGAGTATGAGATGTCCAGGGGCCAGGGAGGCACCACTTCTGTCCACCCTACCCCGTTACCCCCTTGGCCTGAGGTTGGGGGCATGCATGCCCTCTGCGGACATCCCATGAAGGGAGGCTGGGGTAGGAAGGCACTGGCCTGAGGCTTTAGCCACCCAGGGCTAGGCCTGGCAGGCCCAGGACAGAGTGCTGTCCTCTCAGAGCAGTTGCTCACATTCATTGTTCTGAGTTAATTTAATTCAGTGAAACTTCCTGCACATCAGCGGAAAGAAAAGCTTGGTGCAGAGGATCCCCAAGTAAAAGAAGATATGATTCTTGTCCTTAAGGAGCTTATTTTCCAGTGGGGCATATAAACACTGAGTCCAAAGAACAGAAAGGTCCATCAGATATGGTGCATGTTGGAGGTCTGGCCACCTGGGAGCTGGGAGTGGGAAGGAGGTGGGGAGGGAGGTCACTGCCAGGTAGGGCTGCTCTTTGAGGATAGGCCTTGACCATGGCTGAGGAAGATGTTACATACAATGGCAGCCTGAAATTCTAACTAATAGAGCAAACCTTGTCACCAGCAAATGCAGGACAGCTTTGGCAGGAATGAACAGGCATGAAGGGAAATGGTGCAAGGTAAGGCTCGGTAGGTGGGTTCAGGTAGCAGGAGAGCAGGCCAACCCTGAGCTGTGTAAGGAGGGAGGACCTTTCTCCTGAAAGCAGGAGTAGCCACTGAAGGTGTCTGAGCAGGAAGGACAGAAGCACAGCTGGATTTGAGAAACTTCTCTTCCCAGCAATGTGACAGTGATGGTGGCAGGAAGACAGTGTAGGAAGCAGTTGAAATCTTCAGGTGAGAGATAATGGGGACCTTGAAGTTTCCTCTTAAACACTTACCTAGCCAGGTGGCAAGAAGGAGCAGAGGCCCTATCCTTTTTTAGCAGGGGTTCTTTTGTCCTGAATCCCTCTTCTCTTGACCAACCCCAGGCCAGATACAGCTGTCCTTTCCCTGGAGGCCAGGACTGTGAGGGAGGCCAGCTTCTCCTGACCACTGCCCTGCTCTTGATCCATGGGACCCAGGTGGGAAGGGAGAGGAGGGAGAGAAGAGCAAAGGTAGATCTGTGGCAGCCCTCCTCCCCCTCCCCCACTCCTGATGCCTCCAAGCAGCCAGGCCCAGTTTGCATTAGGGAGCAGCTCAGATGATTAAGAATAGGGGAGATAATTATGTGTCAAGATGATGTAGCCCAACTCTGCAGTCAGGCCAAGGTAGCAAAGCAGCTGGCAGGCCGGTCGCAGGAGGCAGCCTCGGGCACAGGCTGCACAGACACCCAGTATGTCCTTTAGCTCTTGGGCCAATACTGCAGAGAAACTGACATGGGGGGCCTGAGGAATGTTGGGATGGGACTGAGGATGCATGTCCAGGGACTAGACTCTAGAGGGAATGGAAGGCCAGGCACATCTCCCTCCAGGAGGACCTTGGATGCCCCTTGCCAAACTGGTTCTCCTTTGGCCTCAGGCACTGTGGCATCTCCCTGAAAGTGGCATATCCTGAGGGCAAGCTGGGTACTTCTCTGCCCTCCAGGAAGCTGCTCCGGTTCCTGCCTCTGGGTACAGTGCGGCCTATTCTTCAGCTCTAACAATGTCACGGTGGTGGGCATTAGCGAGGACAATGACTGCAGCATGTGCTGGCATTAGTGGAGACAATCTCAGCAGTAGTTACTGGTGTTCACAGTGATAATACCCAGAGTGTTATTGGCACTGGCACTCAGAATATGGACAGCATTATTAGTATCTGCAGCAATCATATCCGTGGGGATATTAGTAAAGGGCCAATCAGCTGTGACTCTGGGGAAAAGCTGATGGTGACTGTGGGCTGCTTGAGACTCCTTGCCATGTCCTGGCCTGTGGGAGTGTGGAAAACCCCAGATTTTCCCTGGAGAAATGTGCCACTTTAGAAGCTGTGACTCTCCTTCAGGAGTCCAGAAACTCCCAGGAGATAGACAGATGAGCGATAGATGAGGAAGTCATGTCATGAAGTCCCCAGAAGACAGGCTATGCTTCAGTCTAAGAAGGAAGAATCATCATTCAGTACCCTGCTAAAATCCTCACTTCTTAACTAAAATTATGGGTGGGTGCATTAGGTCTGGATTCCCTGGAACTTTGAAGGGACATTGATCTTCTGAAGGTTGTAGCTGGAATACAGAGATTTGAACTTTCCTATCCATAATCAGCCTAAAAACCGACGTATGGGCTAGGACTGTAGCTCAGCGGTAGAGTGTTTACCTAGCAAGCATGAGGCCCTGAATTCCAACAAAAACCTGATGCCTTTTGCTTTCTGCTGTGGCCCAGAGCATTGCTGTCCGTCGGCAGCCATGTTGAAACATAGAGCAGTTACATAACTTGTCCAAAAATCCAAATAAAGTCATGGCGAGTCTGTTGATCGGTGTGAGGGAGGTGTGTTGGTGTCATCCTTTGATGTGTGGGATTGCAGGGAGGCTGTGGGTTTTCATTCCATTAATTAGATGCACAATGATTTGTGCAGCTAAGTGGTGCCAAGCTGGTACAGTTGTGCATTTTCAGACAGGGCAGGTTGTGTGACTACAAATGGCCTAGTCCTGTCACTGCCTTTAATAACTCCCTTCTGATTTGGATGAAGCTGTAACTGAAAGAAGCAGTTTATTTCCTTAGTTAGTTTCCCCCCAAAAGTCCCAAAGAGTGTTGCTCAGGTTAGTCTTGGGACAAAGAAGGGGAATAAGTTGTGGAAATGAGCAGCACCTACCCTTGTCTAGGAGCCCTGGATGGAGGCAAGAGAAAGCTGCAAAGATCCACTAGGAAAGAGGGTGCAGGGCGGAGGCCAGCATGCAGCCCAGGAGCTTAGCCTAGATGGGCAGAGTGCTCAGGGGGGAAGATGTGAGTTCTGGGGTGAGCATAGCTTGGCATGAATTTTAGCATCCCTTACTATCAGTGTGACCTTGGGCAAGTCATTTAACATGCATCACCTCAGTTTTCTCCTCTATAAAATGGACATGGTAGCAATTCTTTCTTCACAAGGACTATGGAGAAGATTCCATGAGATCATGAATATAGAGTGTTGCACCAACTCCATATTGGAAGATGGATTGATTTGCATCTGGGAAAGAAAGCCTTGTTATGGGTTTTGATTTCATGGGGAAATGAAATTGTGTCAGAAAGAAACTGATTTGGACACAGGCTCCATAACCTTGGTGTAGCTTCTTGTAACTACGGCAGCCTCTAGCTGATGCTGGATAAGCTAACCTGGATGTGACCAGTGCAGTTGGCCTCACCTGTGTAACTGGGACAACCTTTGTCCATCTCTACCTATTCATTTGCTCTATGGTTACCTGTTGGTGCATATATCATCTTTTAGCCACCACAGGTGTTTTCTATGTATGTAAATAAAGACCCTTTTTTCCCCTTAATATGGGGGCATCACTCCCTCTATCCATTTAATATATTTCTGCTCCTACATGCAAATTGATTTATTTACCTTGGAAAAATGTATGCTTGTTTTAGAGACCATATGTAATTTTCCCCACAGTTCATGCAAGTATGAGTCTGTGTGTGTGTGTGTGTGTGTGTGTGTGTGTTCTACCTCCTCTGAGATCTTTGGGTGTAAGGAGATATAATATGTCACATGTTGGGAAGGTATTCAGTTTTCTAGGTAGTGTGCATGCTTAGAGAGAGTACCAGTATAACCATGTGTGTGTCTACCAGCACCAATGACTGAGGAGAGCTCTAAGCTAGGCCTGAACTAGTTGGGTGTCCATGGTCCTGGGCACAGACATGCAAATAGAGTTTGGCCCATAGAACCCACTCAACATCTGTTGGCAAATGGATGGGGTGTCTTGAGCCTGCCTCCAGGGATGGCTGGGGCCAACCCTAGGGAGACTGAGGCTGGGAACCTTTACCCGCTCAGGCTGTGTGGGAGTCGCAGCTCAGAACCCTTGCAGCCCTTTGAAGAGGAGTCTGGTCTTCCAGTCTCAGGGAATGGCCCCCAATCTTCTACCTGCCTGTCTTTCAAGATCTCTCAGTGTTTGTCTCTTATTTGCTCTAGTCGAGGTATACACTGATCCTGCCCACATTAGAGGAGGTGGAGGTTTGCATCTGGTCTGGACTTTAAGAGGTATGAGGGCCAGAGGGAACATGGTGTGGGGGTCAAGGGAAATAGCTGGGGGCGGTGGTTAAAGAACATTGAGAAAGTGGGTTCCTAAGGGCAGAGAACAGAAAAGAGGCAGCTGTTCAGGCTTCCACTGGGCACCTAAGAGGCTAACAGAGTTTCAGGGCCTGGATCGGCTTCCGCCGTGGGCCACTGAGGGGGTGTAGGACTGAGGCCCTGGTGGCCTGGAGGGTCAGGCGCTCAGTGCATGGGGGGCAGTTTTTCCAGCCCTTGGAAAAACAAAGAGCAGATCGGGTAGTAAAACAAAAGCAAAGGAGACCTGGAAGCACCTGACAGCCCTAATTCATCACGGCCCAAGTTTTTTCCTGTGTTCCCATTATATTTGTTTGTAAAAGTGGAAATCAATTTTGAAGGTAATTTTCTGGAAAGAATGGAAGGGAGGTGGGAGGGCCGGATAAGGCAGAGATGGTAAAAGGAAAAATTTAGGCCAGGCACAGCCCAGGGGCAGCTCTTGGCAAGGTGAAAGAAAATTGCATATTCAATCTCCATCCATGAATCTCCCTCACTGCTGCCCGCCTCCTGCTTGAAAACAATGAAGGCTTTTTCCCAACACTGGGCAGGGCCTCAGTATCAGCCTCACTTTAACTTCAGGGTCATTAATTCCCTGATTATTGAAGGAGAAGAGAGGGTTGCAGCATTGTCAATTCCAAAGGCACCCCCCATGTGATCAGACACTGGCTGGGTGGGGTGGGGGGCAGCCAGGGTGAGGTGAGGTGTTGTCTCAAAAGGGGTTGGGGAGAGAGGAAATGGGGGAGCCACCTGGACTGGGGGGCAGGAAGCCAGGAGGAGGGTGGAAGCAGGCAGTCATTACTGCATACCTCTGTTGTGTTGTTATTGCAAATTAAAAGTAGCATGTTCCACTCCACAGCTATCTTTGGGGAGGGAGGGGCACCAAGGGAGGTGGGGGATCTTATCATTGCTTCTTCAGCAGACCAGCCGTGGTGTCACCGTGTGAGGTGACATTTGAATTTACAATTCCGCTGAGAAAAGCCATTAATTCACAAATTAACATTTCTCCCTCTCCCTCTCTCTTTAACACTCTCTCCCTCTCTCACATGGATGTGCAAGCAATTGAAAAGACAAAGGAAATAGCCTTAAGGAAGAGACTTTACTGCTAGTCTGTCTGTGCTGAGATTGCTCCCCCTGCTTCCAGATAGATAAACCAATTACCTGAGCAGCTCGGCTCCTGGCCGCCCGATCGCCTCCTTTTGTAGGCTGCCTCCATGGCTGGCTTGCGCTCGGTGTATCTCATTAATGGAAACCAGGCATGCCCTGGTCACCAAGCTGTCTTCCCAGCTCTCCCTTGGAGGAGCAGTGGGAGGAGAGTTGGTATCAGAAAAGGCAGGTGAGGAGACCCCAGGGAAGAGGAAAATCTGCCACTGCCCTGCCACCTGGGGGGCCCTGGGTCTTTGGGCACAGCTTGCTGTGTTGGCCAAGGCTGGTGGGGGAAGTGTGCAGGTGAGCCCTGCTTGGTAGGTGAGCCTGCTCTGAACTGAGAGGGCAAGGCATGGAGTGGGCATTTAGAAACAGAGGCTACAACACTAACCTAAACTCCTGGTGGCCTTTGGTCCCAGTGCAGGGAGCTGGTGGAACCAGAGAAAGACCTGAGCTCACCCTGAATGAGAAGAGCTTGGGGAAGTTTTGCTGAGTCTGCACTATTTTAGTGGGATGGGATTCAGCTTGAAGGAGCTGAGAGGTTGCTGAGGAGGGCCCAGGAGACATGATGAGGTTGCACTGTATTGGGTAAACAAAATGAGGTTGCACTGATTTCTTAACCTAAACCCAGCACTTGGACACGAATGTGTCTGTTTACTGCCTAATACACACACACACACATACACACACACAGCTGATTTCCTTCTTAGAGAACACAGCAGCCCCCCTTTATCCACTAGATAAGTTTCAGGATCCACAGTGAGTACTTGAAACCAAGGTTAGTACCCAGTCCTACACATACTTTGTTTTTTCTCTATATATACACAGGACAAAGTTTAATTTATAGATAAGGCTCAGTAAGAGATTAACGACAACTAATAATAAAATAGAATAATTGTAGCCATACATTGATACCATGACAGTTAATCTGATAACTGAGATGGCTACTAAGTGACTAACAGGTACAGCATAGATATGCCAAACAAAAGGATGATTCACATACCAGGTGGGACAGAGGGGGCTGCTCAATATTTCATCATGCTACTCAGAAAGGCATGCAATTTAAAACTTATGAATTGTGTATTTCTGGAATTTTCCATTTAATAGACTGTACTTGGCTGCAGGTAACTGAAACTTTGAAAAGTAAAATTTTGGATAAGTGGGGACTAAGGTGCCTTATGAATTACTGTTAGGATTATATGTCTTCACATGTTCTGTACTGCCTAGCACATGTCACAGACCCTGCCCCTATGTGACAGGTCCTATGAAAGTCCAGAAAGAAAAGCTACACAAAGGGAACCATCTATCTAAACAAGCTCCTGAATTTAACTGCATTAACAAAGTTCAGCCTATGTTCATTTTCCAACTAATATTATAAACCTGGCTAACATCTACTCCAGTTCAAGAAAAAGTTAAGGTTCAAAGGTCAACATTCACTAAGACACCAGAAAAAGAAACCCACTTATGAACACATTTGTGGTCATGAGTATATCTTTATAGTAACCAGGGAAATTCGACTGGTCATACCTGAGAGGGGAATTTTCCTATCTTAGTCGAATCACATATTTTAGCCAAACTCTCTGGGTATTATTGGCCATGAGCCTGTTGAACACACTATGTCACTCTACAGAGGTAGATGGAGAATGCTTTTGGAGGTTATGTTGATGTTCTATTAAGACTTTTACTGAGGGCCCTGTATGCAGGTGACTGTATTTTTCTGTGGGTAAGTACCAGGTTTAGCCATGGCTGTGTGAGACTGACAGGTTCATGAATTTATCTATAAAACCGTGCATTTATACCAGAGATCAATCAAATTATTAACTACCTTTGTTTCCCAACTAGTTCATACTACTATGGATAAAGAGTAGGTTGTTTGAGGAAGTATTTTGAGGTTTAGTACAAATGAGCATACATTTTTTCATATAGTGCCAGAAGTCAGAATAGATAGGTGTACCATCCCTAGGAAAAAATGCACAGATTTGTTGTAGAGGGGTCTGCATGTGTCCCTCCACCCCCAGACATTTGGGCAGGTTCAACACGGGTATTACAAATTCCTCAGCAAAGGCCAGGAGGTTCTCCACCCCCTGCCCTGTTTGCACCCTCTCATGAGCACCCATCGTGTTAGAATCTGTCTTCAACTCTTGGTCATCCCTTGGCAACTGCCTTCCAGCCCTGCAGGTAGGCATCATTCTCCTTTCCCCTCCTGGCAAGGGCACCAAGCGAGAAATCCGCTGCCTCAGCTCTGCCCTTCTCCCCCAGAGCAGGCTGTGCACGCAGGAGGGAGGAGCCAGGCACAGGGCTGTCCCCCAGGCCCTGCTGCTTGCAGGCTTGCCTCCCAGAGCATCTCCTCCTCTGCGGACCAGTGGGCAGTGAGAAGGGCAGGCAGCTGGCATGAGGACCCCTCGGAAAATGGGTTTGAAGATAATAAAGGGGAAGGGAGACCCCAGGATCACGCCCACCAAAGGAATGGGTCCTGGCAGGCTCCTGAACCACTGAGCCCAGAGAAGGACCCCTTCCCACCCTGCCTTCCTCAGGCCTTCGGGCTCTTTGGGACCCTCTCACTCTGCCCTGTGGGGGTAGAAAGGCCAGGAGGGTTGGGGGAGGGTGGGGCCTGGTGCAGGGGCTGGAAGATAGTCACGAGCCTCAGAGCCTGAGTTGCAGCAGAGCCAGTAATTCAAACCATCCTGACCCTTCGGTGAACCCGAACCTGCTGACCTTGACAGCAGCCAACAAGAGAGGCCTCACAAACCTCAACCTGGCAGAGGCCCTGCCTTCTCTCCCTTCCTTTCTTGAAAGCCTGTGGCCCAGCCTCCAGGTGGCTCCTCATTTGGCCATCCCCAAGAAGTGTCAGCATCCCCTCCCTCCCTGAGGCTGCCTGCTTGCTTCAAAGCACCCTTTGTGCTCATCTCCACTGGAGACAGGGTGTAGGCATCCCCTGGGGCCTGTCCAGGACTGCCGTGAGAGTTCTCCTATGAGTGGAGCTCATACCCCTTCTCTGCCCCAGGCTTCGTCTTTTCAAGAGGTCTGGCTATAGCACGTAATCTGGGTGCACACAGGGTCGGGGATAGAATGTGATGGAGATGTAGTAGACAGGGGAGGGAAGACAAGCTGGAGGAAAGCAGCCTCAGGAACCTGCATTAAAGTAAATGCAGTTTATGAAGTTTATGCCTTCTTCCTCGGGAGAACTGGATTCCTTCCAGTAGCCTCTCCGAGGCTGCCAAACAGCTCCTGAAGCAGAAAGTGTGGGCAGGAGAGCAAGCAAGCCAATGACAGAGGGAGAGATGCGTGGACACCAGCAAGCACACACACACACATACATCACCCTAGGCCACAGCAGCCTGAGAAGCCTGGGATGGGAGAATGCAGATGGTGTGTTTAGGAGGAGTGGCTCCAGGAGCTACTTTCCCCCTTCTTCCCTGCCCACCTGCCATCTCTCCCCACTCAGGCAGTGTGGCCATCAGTATGAGTGCTGGGAAGACTGATGGTGTAGTAAAGCTAAGCTGGGGGCAGTGTGGACTGCCTGGGGTAGCCGGGTCATGGAAGCTGCTCTGGGTGAGAGATGGTCTGGGTGGTCTTGGGGCAATGGGTACAAGCCCTATGTAGGAAAAGGAATCAGAATATTGTACCATTGAAATCAATTGTGGTGGCACACACCTGTAATCCCAGCTACTAAGGAGCCTGAGGTAGAAGGATTACAAGTTCAAGGATAGGCTGGCAGCTTCATAAGACCCTGTCTTGACATAAAATAAAAAGGTCTGTGGATATAACCCAGTGGTAGAGTCCTTCCCTAG